TGTGAGGGCCCCCAATGATCTAACAATCAACCAACCCTGTCTCTAGAATCTAGAATTTATTCTGCTGGTTGCGAAAACGATAACCTCATCAATTTTTTGCATCATTCGGACTCGGCGTTTGTTCGGATTTTGATTTGGCGCTCGGTGCAATGTTCGGCCCCGCAAACAACCATACCAGTAGTGGGGTCCCGGCAAAATAGTGGGTAGCTGTTAATGGGGGGAGGTCATGGGCGCGAAAGCTCTTGAGTGCAGAAAGGCGCTGCCGGAGACCGGACCTCCCCCAAACGAGCCTCAATGCGCCTCAGGTTCATGTTCGAGTTCCTGCCCGGCTGCTTCCAGCATGCCCAGCGGCTTGGCCAGTTTTGAGTCAGACAGGAAGTCGGTTTCATGCAATGTCCGTTCCTTGCGGGCCGCTTGAAGCATCAGGAAGTTGCCGCACAATAGCGCCTCGGGTCGAAGCCCTTCCCGTCCGTGCCCCCCTGTGCCCCCGAGGAAAAATCCGATTATCGGCCTGACGATGATGCTTGAAGTCCTAGTGGATATCCTCAGCATCTTCGGTTTGCATTGGCCTCAAGCCACCAACTGGGCTAGGGCCTTGCTTGGGTATCTCCGCATGGATCTTCGCTGCATTTCTTCTGAGCAGGGGTGTATTTCCTACTCACGCTTCTTACCCGCTTTGTCTCTGCGCGGTCAGCTGGGAGGGTGACCCCCAAGACATCGAGAACACATTTCGAACGGACAGTCAGCACAGTGGCACTGTCTTGCCCGTGCGTGAGTCTTAGATTATAGCAGTGAACCCATGGAGAAGCTGCACCTAGTACGGCCTGGTTCCAAGGCACTTTGAGCTCGGGGCTTCGAGTGGATGGTAGTACCTGGCTTTTCGCGTGCTCAGCTGGCTCGAGAGGGAATGAGCGCATTTATGCGATGGGTGGGACTGGGGTGACCATGTCTTCGGATTGCACAGTAAACTGCACAGTAAACTCAGCCAACTTTGCAACCTCAATACCCAAGCTCCACACTCGAGGCAACCTGGTGCCTGCTGTGCCCGGGTTAGAGCTCCCAGCCGAACAGAGCCCTGGCAGGGGATGCAGGGGAACGCCGGGCCTCGAGGTTATGGCTGTATGTCGGTTTTGTTGCCCGGCGGTGCTCGGGCTTGGACTCGAAGATGCCTTTCAGAGTTTCAGGTTTAAAGTGTGTAGAGGCTTCGAGTTTTTGAGTGTTTCGAGGCTTTTAGGCATTCCTCACAGATGGGCCGAATTCTTCCGGCCATTGGGTTGTGCCAGCATCGTGATCTCTTGTTTGGTTTTGCCACCCCTCAACCCTAAGGAAGCTCATCCGCGTGGACCTATCGGAAATGGCCGCGTTCGTCGCTGCCGTGAAGAATCGGCTCCTGGGCCAAGTGGGACGTGGACTGTGCGGGTGGAGAGTGGACAGAATGGATAGAAGTAAGTACTTTGAGTCGAGGTTCCCCACTGCACTGCATGTCAACAGTGTCACATTGTGTTTTGCAACATCGCTCCCCAACTTCATGCGTCTTGGTGCTTCTTGGTCTTGCGGCCCTGCTTCGAGACATTGTGAGTCGGCAGTTTCACTGGGAGACACCAGAAACCCATGCCTCGTGTGAGAAGAGAGGCAACTCCCCATTGGGCTTCCCAGGTTCGTTTTTCAGACCTGTGTGGCCCGTTCCCGCTTTCGGGTGCTGGGAACGCGCATCCGCATTGAGATGACTGCAGGGAGCCTGGGGCTGCATCGTGATTTTAAGCTAGAAAGTCTAGGAATGTCCAGGATACCGATGCAACGTTCAGTTCAAGCTCAAACATCCTTCTACTGAGCCACTGCAGTCCTGCATGGTGTACTGCGACGGGTCCAAGGAATTGGAGTCGGGTCACGGACGTCGATTCCGACACCACGACCCTTGCTTATGGCGTCAAGGACAAGCAGCTGGCCCAAGAAGACACTCTTCGAGTTTGCGATGTCCGAAGACTCCGGTGACCAATAGTTGAAATCCGCCGAAGCCTTAAACGCTTCATCCTCGTGCTTGCCGGTACAGAGAGTACAAGAATGAACGAAAGGCAGTATCTGCTGTTGGGTGTTATCCAGGGCGAATCTAGGGCAAGAGATACGAAAACCTAGTTTATTTTCTAGCAATTTCTAGCACCAGCAATGCTATCCGGTAACCGACCACGACTTTGGCAGGACATGTTCATGCGCCAGCAAGCTATCGAGTCGCTCGTACGGCGCCAGGCCAAAGCTTGCATCACCCTGCCGGTAAAACCCTGAAGGTCCCAGAACCGACCTTGTCTCCTCACCACTGAACACCAAAGCTACAACCTGTGTTCCACTTTGTATACGTCCTCGACTAGTGCTTCGTGCATATTGCACGGTCGTGGAGTTGTCTCCCTGCCGCAGGCGACGAAGGGTGATTTCGACGAGACCGATTGGCTGCGGCGGGAACGGCTGTGACAAGCAAGAAATGCCCCCGCCCCCCCTTCTCCCCTTTCCCAAAGAGCAAGCACCGAGGCCAAGACACAGTAAGGATCCGTAAGGCCCTGGTCAGTATGATGTGTGATGTGGTAGCTCTTTTCAGGAAGCCATTGCATGTTCAGGGTGAGGCTTCGCTGGCCGTGTTAATGCTGAGCTGTCAAAGCCATCTGATTAGGGAATTTTCGACAGCCGCACGTTAACGATGCTTAGTGGTCCGTGCCTGGACGCTCAACAGGCACAAGCCCAGGCCGTTTTTCTAAAGCACGAGATGCGTCGGCACGGACCTCGCAGGACACTTCCCCATAAGCCTGGAGCCCCATCCGGCATCACTGCGGCAGTTTGGAGCCGACTCTGGCTTTCTTGCTTTCTTGTTCGCAAGATGGTGCTCCGGGCCTTGATGGGCATAACCCGACGCCCCAAGCTTGCTTCGCTTCCCCCCGTCCAAGTCGGGGGGGCCGCTTCCCGAAGCTGTGAAGCGCAAAGCCGCACTTTGATGACACGAGTTGGTCCGGCATGCGCCAGGTCAGTGCACATGGGATACGATCCAAGCTCACAGCAGGGTTTTTGTCTTTGCGCATGCTGGACTGTAGCGTGTTGCATAGTGTTTCAGCTTCAGCGACCTGACCCATGGAAGAAAGGCGACGCAGTAGGAAAAACTGTCCAGGGCCCTGAGAGCTTCAGGAATATCTCGTGTCTTATGTTCGTGATCTTCCCGAATGTGTGTCCTGGAAGCGAATAATTGGGTACTTGGTCCAGTTCAGAAACCTGGACGTCCAACTTAAAACGCGAAGCTCGACAAGTCCCCTACAGTAAGCTCTCCTTCCGTGTCTGGAGCAGGGCTCTGCTACATCCGGCGTTCACGACGGTGCAAGCCAAGCCGAACCCTGCCGTTGCCCAAGCGGCTTTTCCATCACCGCCCAGTTTTGTGGAGCATTTCAAGAGAATCAATGTGCAGGCAGAAAGGGGTGGAGTTATGAAGCAGAGTGATCCTCCAACATTGAAAGCATTTTCTTCGTTCTTGTTATGGCAAGCAGGTGGCTGGGAGTACTGGTATCCTGGCGGCCAGCTGCTTCGAACGGATGCTCAGCAATCCGATGGCATGACTTCATTCCTTGGGATTGCGCGAAGGCAAGCGCTGGCACGACCGAGGTCTATCTGAAATCTCCTTTTTACTCCTTGTGTTTCCAAGGACAAGACCTACAACCTCCATTACTGTTGGGAGGAGTGCGAGCAAGAAGCCTTGGCTTGAAGGAGGTTTGAACGAAGACACGAATCCGAAGATTCAACCCCGAGGGCTGTGTGGGCTAACATCTCAGATGCCAACATGCAACATCACGGCGTTGTTTTGACTAGGAGGTGATAGCCTCACCGGTGACATTTCGAAGCCCACCAAGCCTGTCAAAGCTCCTGACTTCGAACCTAAGGACAGCAGCTGCCGCTTTTGGGATTACGGCCTCGGCTCTTGTTCGCTGCGAGGGGATGGAGGCGCCGGGGGCCAGCAAGTTCACTATGCAGGCAGAGGGACATGGGACAACAGATGGCGCGGAAAGCGGTGGATGTAGGCTTGGCCCAGCTCTCGAAGTCTTCGGCTTGTTTTACACCGCAAGGGCGGGTCGAGACTACATGCGTCTGTAGGCTGCGGAATGAGGATAGACTTAGCGACGTTGTGCTTAGCGACGTTGTAGCAGTATGTATTATGTCATTCTGTATTTCTTCGCGCAGGGGACGGCCGACATTTTCGCGCTGGACATGTGCCTTGGGCTGTTGCATTTTGCCTTGGCGCTGTTTCCTCGAATGATGTGAACCCGTAGGAATCACACGGGCGTGCCTACATGTTATGGAGCCCCTTGCACGTCCTGGTTTGAACAGCTCATCCAGCTCACGAAGGCGAAAGTCCTCAGCTGCAATCCGAAGTGGCCCAGAAGCCGACCCGAAGATGATTGGAGCCCCGTTTTCGTGTTGGGGTGTTCGCCCCGCGAAACTTGCCTGTGCACATGTGTAACCAGAGGCCAGAAGCCAGCACCCGAAGTCAGGGGTGGAGCACGAAAGGTCCCCCCCACCCCCCCCTCTAGAAAGCCCTCCAAACCGGGCAGGTGGGCGGGCCTTCGGGCTGCACGTTGCAGGAGAGCACTTCTTGTTTTTTTGGGGGGGACTTTCTGGGTGGAATGGGGGGGAGGTTTGTAGTCTTTGGGTGGCAGATTGTGAGGCTCACGAAGAGCGCTCGGTGTCGGTGTAGAGCGTCCAGTGGTTACAGGACTCAGCCCGCGAGTCGCCTCCAGATGCTTGGAGACTCATGCCGCCTGGCTTCGCAGACTGCCAGCTCGATAACCTTCTGAGCCTTCCTGAAATTCCAATTCATCAAGCTCAACCCTCCTGAAATCCTCTTCAGTCCAGGTCAGTGGCGGCCCACGCCATGGGCATTGAAGAGGGTGAGTTTTTGTCGGGAGCCAAGTCCAGTCGAGTCCACGCAAAATGGCTTAAGTCGCTTGAGGGTCAAAACTATCGTTCGCCACGGAATGCAAAGAAGGCAAGGCACAGCCTGCCAGGGGCAGCTCAATCTTCACAATTACGTGTGGACCTTCAACCTGATCCCTGAACAGGTACAGCTGGGCCCTGAACGATCGGAGCTTCAGAAACTACCACTCGGTCAGATGTCAAGTTCAGAAACCAACCCCTGCATCAGAGACGATGCCCCAGGCGCTATCGGGATTGTTTGGCACGTCTGCAAGGACCCAATCTTCTGTCTGGCCAAGCTTCCGAGGTTCCGCGACTACGTTTTGGAGGGAGACCTTCTGCTCTTTGGGCCACATGGATACAGGACCTACCCGGATGACGAGTCGGAGGCCCTAGTTGCCGTAAGCATAGCTTGCAGAGGTACCTGAAGTTGTGGAAGCCAAAGAAAGTAGTGGAGCTAGGCATCCTGCTTGTTGAAGCTGTTCGCTGCAGCGTTGGTGGAAAAGTCGTAATCGCCGATGTCCGTATCACGCAACATGCGGTCCATTTCCTGCAGCCCACTGCCTAACCACGGCAACCGGCCCTGTCATTACCCCTATGGCCCCTTGCCATGGCTGATCAGAAAATACTCAAGGATCACTTAGTTCCAGGCGCCGGCATGCAACACGAGTCTTAGTATCGACAGGCTGCTGACCACAACGGTGAAGCTGCCAAGAAGGAAGAGGAGTCGCGCGGCTCATGTTGTGGCAGTTTCCGTATGCCTTATGACTCCTGAGTCTTGAGGTTTGGGCTGGGGAAGTCTGTATCCATGGGGTTCAGACGAGGCTTCCTGTGTATGCGAGCATTTTTTGTGAGGCCAGGTGCCACCAGTACTCAACAGTAGTTGAACTAGCTCGCAGCATTCTCTAAATTGCCTTGAACGGGTCGCTTGCGCACTCTCATATGAAGACGAGGAGCCCAGACCACCCGACCCTCAAAGCATCTCTAAGCCTGCAAGCCTTCAAGCCCAAAGATTTCTACGATGCCCAAAGCCTCTTGCAGAGGCCTGTGGCGGTACGGTGGCAGCGGGCACTGCTGACGCCGGGTGAGGAGCTGGAACAGGCCGAAGGGTAGAGTTCAGGAATCCTACCTATCCTGCCCCCAAGCTCTAAATTTATGTAAAGCTGCTGTCTTCATCATGGCCTTGGCTCTAAACCCTATACTTTAAAACTTAAGCCTATGGACTAGGTGCAGAGACCAGGTTTCAGGCTTTGGGGTTCCAGGGCTGAGTGTTCGGGATGTGTAGGTGCTTCGGGTTTGACCGGTTGCTGGGTTCATCTTTGGTTCCGTCAATTTTTCATGATGTGCTGCACGGCGGTGGGCTCATCATGCAGCCTGCTGCGTGGGGCATTGTTCCGGTTGGCTCCTGGCGAGTAGTGGAGCACTCGGCAGTGATTGTGCGGAAAGCCATCAGCTTCATGTGCAGACCTTTCAGAAACTTAAAGCACTGCAGTCTGAACTTTGGAAATCGCAGCTTCGACCTTGAGCCTGACATGCTGTGCCGAAACCTGCAGAGGCGGCGCTGACGGGAGTGGCGGCTTTCCCCGCTTCCCTCAATGCAACTCTCTGCAAGCCGCTTGGCCGGAGCAGCAGGGGTGATGTCGCAAATGGCTGCTGGAGCATAGGTATTCTCAATGCCCCACTACATGCGAGAGCTTACCATTTCAGCCCATTTGCTGTCTGAGGCAGACAAACGAGCCACCTGCCTGATCAGAGAGATTGATCTTTTGGCTTGATGTGCGAACTTTGTTGTGAGTAATTATGCCTGGAAATGTATAGAACACCTGTGGAGAACAGTTCGTCGGCTGCACATTCGTCAAGTCATCCGTCAAGCCTGATGCCATAAACTAAAGTGCTGAGTTTTGTGCGTAGTTTTTTTGTCAACCTTTTGTTTGCTGATGGTTGTAGAGTGTCCCCACGCTGGACAGGCACAGCAGCTCACAAGGACGAGCAAGGGAGGTTTTGCATATTTGCGGAACCTTCAGGCCTGTGCTTGTGCCGTGTCCTCCTAACAGAATCCCCTTCATGAAGCACAAGGTCAGAAGCTTCGATGAACATCAGACATCAGACCATGAAATCGTTGCTGCCCGAGACCTTCCCAGGAGATGTTGAGCGAGAGCAGCATCCGCTCGAAGAGGCTCTGGGCCTCAGCTCCAGCAAGGAGCCTGGATGACCGGATCCTTTCAGCGGCTAGGGTCTTGGCAACATATGGCAACATGATTGGCTTAAGGTGTGCTGAGTGTACTGTTTGCCGTAGAGGCATAGCATCATCTGATGCACGGCGAAGGCAAGTTGACAGGTCGGAATAAAGCCCTTTGAAAGCGTTATTATCATTGCGGCTTCTCTCTGTATCGCACCTGATGGCAGGCAGGATGGCTCTAACACGGCCCTAGTAAGATGCGGTGTTGAAGGGCAGCAGTTTGAAGTTTGATCTGCGATCTTGTAGCGATGGCACGACGTTGGCAGCATCCCAAGCCCCTGCAGGACCGAGTCTTGTACGAGCTGCTCGGCAGTCCTTGGAATACGGCTCAGGAGAGTAGGATTCACGGATTTCCAAGGATTGCAAGGGTGGTGTTGAAAGCGTTTAGGACTCCGCAGGGTATCCATGGAGTGGCGACCGCTTGTTTGTTGGGTAGGCCATGTTCGAAATATAGTCCTACCAGACATCCTATTCGAAATGGTGCAGAGTGCTTTTGTGTCCTATGTTCTTGTCATGGTGCCAACTCCTGCTCACTATCAGGGGCTGGCTCTCTAATAGTACTGTGGCAGGATGCTCTGATTCGCTTGGGGGGCCCCGCGAAGCTCCCCCCGCAACCCTGCCCACCTCCTTGGCCCCTGTCCCTGCCCCTCCCCTGAAAACATACCCGAGAAACTCGAAACCTTGAACGGCCAGGGCCCTCAGAGCCAGCTTGTGATCATGAGACTTAGGGTGCCCGAAGGGCTCTGCTTTTGGTAGGGGTGTGACATGCTGCCGGAGTTAACGCATTTAACGTGCAAAAAGCGCCGTGCCCGAAAGCGCTGCAGGCTGAGCTGCGAGGCGCCTGGTCTGCAGTGTTTAAATCGAAAGGGGGGATTGGCAGAGGATGGATGCTTGGGTAGGGGGGGTTGGCCCGTTTGCCTCCTGGGATTTTCTCAGATCCCAGATCCCAGATCCGCCCCCTCCAAGGCGCCCGAAACCAGAAAGGTCCCACCTCCTGAGCCAAGAAAACCTCCCCAAGACTTCGGGTCCGAGTAGGCTTGGCGGCGCTGGATGTACTACCAGGCCAGGGCCCTTGAGAGATTCAGTTCTCGGAGCCGTAGGTCCATAATCCATACTTTTGGTGAGGGTTCAGCGAGTCCCCAAACGTTGAGTTTGGTTGGGTGCCCGCTTTGTTGTTCGATCCTCGTGTTTGGTGGGGATATCAAGGACGCCTTGTTGCTTATCGGGCTTGCGTGAAGTGTCTGCAGGTAAATGAGGCTTGTGCAGTTTTGGGCTGCTAAGTGGCTTAGAAGCCTAGCTTGGTCTAGCAGAAGCCAGGCTTATCAGCTGGGGTGTTGTAAAGGTGGTGGCGTTTGTTGCCTGAGCTGTAAGTTTGATTTCTCAGGACGTTAAGTCTGGACTGCGAAACTTCGATGCCCACGGCAAGAAAGCCCTAGGCATGATACCAGAATTGGATTTTGCCACACTTCGGTCAGTCCCACACCTAGGCCAAGTCCAGAACCGCAAGACCCCGAAAGCACTAAGCTTTGTGTTTCTGAGGAGCACTACTTCTGGGATGACTAGCACGAGATGTGCCAAAATGCCTGACAAATGAGAAAAAGTGGGTGTGCGCCCGCCGTTGCACTGGAGTTCTGTTTGGCAGGCCTACATCCCACAGTTCAGGAAAAGCCAGACTGAAAAGGAATCCAAGATTCAAGCCCGAAGCTCTCATTCTGCTGGTCAACTGGTCTTCAGGAAGGGGCGGAATCCAGTCTCTGCAGCCGCTGGCCAGCAGCAGAATGGAATCAGACTCGTAGTTTCAGGCATTCCTTACGACAGCACATGGCACGAGTCGTTTGTGGAACCTTCTTGAAGTTTCTCACTTCGCGACTACCTACGTCTTAGAAGTTATTCAGGCTGCCGGCAGAACCCTCAGCCAATATCAGCACCGTTCAAGCACATCGCTCTTCGTCCGCCCCTGGTGTTGAGCAAGGAATTGGAGCTTTGAGAGAAGACAGGGGCGCCGCATGAGTTGTCAATTCTGACGAGCCTGGTGAGGGTCGGGGTGTCGGTTTCAGGGTCAGCGCTTTTTTGCACTGAGCCGCCTCCTTTCGCCATGGATGTTCCTGGCCCCGTGCAAATCCAGCGCGGCCCCATCGAGTTCATCGGCTCGGGGTTGGCAAATTTGTGATTTGGTCTTTTCGACCAGCCTATGTCGTTGTCATGAAGGATATGGGCGTGCTAGGTGAAGGGGGGGAATTCAGCGCCAGCCTAGATGCCCTTTCTGCTTCGGTGCAACGGCCGGCATTGCTCCAGTTCTCGATGCTGCCGTTCTTGCTGGTACATATGTCCACCAGAAGCTCCTCAAGCCTAACCCCCTCCAAGTGACAGCAAAAACCTTTCCGTCGTTTCGTGAAGCCTAAACTTCCCTAGGCCCTAGGCTTGCCGCAACCCTATACTAGCTTCCCTCGGACCTCAACTTCCAGAACCCCCAAGCCCCAAACCCAGGTTTTCTTCGCCGGCCCTCAGGGCGACCAAACGCAGCCCACCAGGCGTTCCCAGGGCGCCTGGGCCGCGGCGCGGGGAGGGCAGGTGGGAAGTTGGAAGACCACCCTGAGGGGCCTTGGGGGGGGGAGTTGCTTCAGCCCAAGCCTGAGCTCCAAACCCGAAAGCACCGTGTCACCATGGCTCGGCTGGAGCTGGGGTTTGGAATCGCTTGGGCTTTGCGGCGGCTATGTCTTCGGCGGCTTTTGGTTCGGGAGCTGCTGTGAGTAGGGGTCTGAGGAGGTGAAGCTGTGCAGCTTGCATTGTGGTCGTGCATGTGGTACAAGAGATTTTGAGGTGTGTGTGCCAATTGCCATGCATGACCGTGCTTTGGCTCGTGTGTAATGTCCCGCCGGAAGGTGCAATACCCGCTGGGAACAGTGCATGTTAACCACAGCCGAAGCCCACTGCAACTTCGTCGAATATCCCACTCTCCACACGAACTGTTTGGACTGTCTTCTCGAAGCCATGGCTTTCGCATCCTTGAACCCTGCGCCGAGCGAAACGCGTCCTGTCACCTTCTGGGTGTTTTTTTTTTTTTTGTCTCTGTTTTTCAGAAGTCAACATGTCTGTCTATGTCTGTGTATGTCTGTGTATAGACCTTGCGCCTTGAGCAGCCTAGGCTCTTTGTTACCGGCCTCCCCATGGACTGCACGAACGAGACCTGGCCCGGTTGTGCCCGGTTTCCGTTCTGGGGCGCTTCTGGCTGTTGGCTTAGCTGGGCATAGCTCAACAAGCCCCTTGCATCGGGGAGGGTTTCCGTCAGTTCAACTTTGGCCATTGGGTGTTTTGGGTTTTTGGGCAGAGTCTCGCGGGGTTTTGCTGTTCGTAGTAGGTGCGCGCTTGGAGTGAAGCGTCGCATGTCTTCAGTCGCCTTCATCGTGCCTGCTGCTCGAAGCAGAGATTGAGGTGTAGCGGAGAGAGCCTAGTTCATAGAACGGGTGTCGGGGTCAATGAAGGGTGGGTGGGTGGAGAGATGACTCTGAATTCTATTGAGGGGACGGGCGGGTAAATGGTCACTAGTAGTCCAGTCGTGCAAGAGAGTGTCCTCCCTCTAGTCCCAGGAGTTTGCCACAGAGATCTTTGGCCAGTATGGCACGGTGAAGACTGTGACGGTCCTCCCAGTCTCGCCAGGCTTTGGGGTTGAGGGGGGGACGTTCAGGCTCTACTCTCAGCTCCGACGACAACTATCTTCAACCCTCCATCCTGTGAGGGTCCAAACCCAGAGCATCTTAATAGCCGCCTTAGCTAAGCCTTACAAAAATCAACCTCAAGCCCACAGGCAAGACCACAGCAGCAGCTTTCGTGATCATGACGCACCTGGGCATAAGAGCTCCAGGATTTCGTTCTCAGATGTGGGTTGGACAAGAAGTTGTCGCTCAGTTGGTTCTTCGCCCTGGACTGTAGAGTCACAGTCCTTCAGCCTTGTGCGCCACCAGCCTTGTGCCCAGCACCCCCAAAAAGGTGAAACTGCATCACAGGAACTTAGAAGACGCACAGTGGATCGTCGACCACGTGAACGGAAACGTCCCGCAGAATTTGACAAGCCCGGTCGCCGCGGCTCGGTGTAGGGCTGATGCAGTAGGCCCTTTGCTTCCGGCATTCCCGGGTGACCGGGTTCAAAGGGCTGATGCGTTGGGAATGGGTTTGGATGCTGTTGGATGGTCATTATATGGGGGTTATGGAATTTTGATCATCCGGTGATTTGCCTTGTCAGGGCAGCGTCCCGTCGCTCGGGCTTGCATGCGGCGTAGTCATACTGTTTGATCAAGCATTCTTCCGGAGGGAGTGGCGCTTGGGCGGAGGTACAGGGGCTCAACCGTGTGAGGCACCTTGTCTTTCGAAGAGAGGAGGGCTCTTCCTAAGGTGGTCTATGCCACGCCGAAGGACGGCTAAGGCTGTCAGAGGCTGTCAGAGGCCCCAAGGGGTGTATCCCCTGAGCCTTGACCCCCATACCGGCGCAGGACAAAGGTGCCGGCAAGGGCATGATGAAGGGGATGTCGATGTGACTGGGCTTCCATGGGGTTCTTGGGTTTTAGCGCTTGAGTTCAGGTTCTGTCTTAGGATATGAGGATGTGCTGCCCCTCGCGATCGGGATTTGGGTTCTTCCAGGCACTGCACACATGTTTCTCCTCCCGCCGAGCCCAATTCAAGACCACGTTTGCTGCCAGGATGGCAGAATCACTTTCGAAGAAAGCCCGGAACTCGAAACTCCAAACCATCCACGGCTAATTTGCGGCCAAAGGATGAAGGGAGCGATGGCCAGCGCCATGAGCCCCATGAGCATGGGCGCCTGGGTGCGAACCGAAAGGGTTTTCGTTTGGGCTCACGGCCGAGCGTCAGGTGGTGTAGGCAGTGTTCGGTGTTCTTGTCTTGGTTTGCTGTGGCCCACAAACTCTCGGACCCTCGGCCCCAAATCCGGAGCCCAGAGTTATCTGGCAGGTGCCCCCATGGGAGGAATGGGTGGCAAGGAGACGCGCTGAGTGCGGAGTTGAGTGACTGAAACCTCCCACACTGTGTAGCGATCTATCGACCAGTGAAATGCCTCAAGAGGTCTCAAGTGTCAATGACTGGCCGTGGGACATGTGGGACATGTGGGAATGTAGGACATTGTAGGACGCTTGATCCTGTTTATACCTCTGGAAAAGAATGCCAGGATTCCTTCAAAGGCGGCTACGGCAAGGGTGTACCACAAGAGGTCAAGAAGTACAAGCGCCTCGGGCTTTGGCTGGCCTCAGGGCGGAGAGGAGACTTCATGAGCCCCATTGCGAGATCTCACTTTGACGGAGTGAGTGGAACCCGGCCAAACCTCCGGTATTGGTTTGGGGGTTGGCTGCCAGACTCTTCGTATCTCTTCGGGATACATTGCACGGTTGGTGCGGCCGAGATGATGCCTTCGGTCGCACTCAGGCTATCTCCCAGTTTGCTCTTGAAGGGTGTCGGGTACCCTGGAACCCTACACGACCCCAGCACTCGAACCCCCATGCAAACCGAAGCCCCTAAGTTCCTGTAAAGTCTTTGCAGCCTTAGCGCCTGAACAGTGCCTGAACATGCCCGAGCCCAACGCCGGTGCCGAGGACGATCATGTGCCGCTTCTTTGAGGCCAACGGCTCTTGCCAGCGAGGCGACGCGTGCTCCTACGCGCACGGTGCATGGGAGCTGAACAGTGCCTGGCCTCTTGAGCCTTAAGTTTTGAGGTGTGCTGGTACTGCAAGCCGACTAGCAAAAAGCCCGGCTTGCGGTTCCGAGTTTCAGGTTCGGAGTTCAACCAAAACAGGGAGTTTGGATTCTGGTTTGTTGGTCTGCGCTCCTGGGGCTCCTGGGTTCAGGGTGCAGGTCAAGCGCCGTATGGCCCTTGCGTCGATATCACAAAAGCGCTTTCAAGACTTGGCGCCGTCCCTCAACATAAGGAACCCCCCCCCCCCCCAGACTGTTGCAGGTTTTCCGCCTCCTCCAGCGCTACACGTGAGAAAGAACAAGCCTGCAAAAGTCCTAAAAGTCCTGAACTGCCGTCTAAAATCCTAAAGCCGCGCAGAGACACCACAAAGGGTTTGTCAAAAGGCCCTGGCATGCCCAGGTGCGGGCAGTGGAGCTGCCATGGCAGCTGCCATGAGCGCCATGGGCAAAGGCGGGAATCAAAGGGCTTCGGGTCGGGGTTGGCGCTCACTGGCATGGCTCAGAGGATGGAGGGCTGATTGGTTGAGTTTTTGGGTTGTGGGGATGCTCGGAATTCGAGGAGTTTGAGGCACTTATGGATTGTCGCTGCAAGGTTGAGTTTCCAGGCGCACGGACCCTCAACCCTGAACCCCTCACATGAGCATTGCGGCCGGGGGCCCTTGAAGGTTCAGCCAGCTTTTGTGTGATCTTTTTTCGGCGCCTTTGCAGGCACCTTCACTCCAGGGGCAAAGGGAGGCTCAGGCGGCAAGGGCATGTGCCTCGGATGTCGAACCCTGTGAGGTGCACCTCCCTTTTCCAAAGAGTCCCTCCGTTTTAGGGCTCGAGCTCGGGTTTCTGGATTCCGGGCTCATTGCTGTCCTGTTGAGGAAAATCTTGCTGGAAGTGGATGGCGCTTGTGCATAGAGCCCATGGCACTCAGATTGGCCAGCTTCGGGTTTAATGTTGGTTTGTAGACCTCCACGCGATTTGTCTTGACAAGGGTCTGACCCAAAGTTTCTGGGTGCGGAGGTGGCAAGGAAATTTTCTTGGGAGTGCACAGGTCTTGGCCCCTAGAGTCTACGCAGGCAAGTGGAGTTCCCTGAGTGAAGTCTAAGTGCTCTCTGCCCTCTGTGCTCCCTGTGTACCACTCAGCCACGTACACACTCTGCTCCAGTGTAAAGCTGTGTTCTGAAACAAAATGACCAGACACTTCGGGTTTGCTGGAAACCGGTAACACCGCCGTCCACGGTAGGCCAATCTGAATCGCTATCGACATCGCTCACGAAATCAAGCTCTGGGCCAAGCAATTTTCACTGCTACACCCGGTCATTGCAACAACTCCAACATTAGTACGGTGCCCGCTGAACCCCTACCCGACTTGCCTCTCTTTCAAGCCGCCAGCCCCCCCCCCCTTCCAGGATGGGGATGTCTAACGGCACAAGCACCATGAATGGCCTCGGAGCAGATTCTCTTGGAGCAGACTCTCTCGGAGCAAGCTCTCTCGGAGCAAGCTCTCTCGGAGCGAGCTCTCTCGGAGCGAGCTCTCTTGGAGCAAGCTCGTTTGGAGCAGACTCTCTGGGGGCGAACCCTCTTGGAGCAAGCTCTTTTGGAGCAGGCTCTTTTGGAGCAGGCTCTTTGGGAGGCGGCTCTTTTGGGAAAGGCGGGCTATGCTCCACAACACATGGGACTCAGTGCAAGTGGATCTGATTGTCTTTCGCGGGCACAATCATCAGGCATAGCAGCTCATTCTCATAGCACCTATGAGTGGCTCCTGACTCTCATACTTCGGGATGGGGATGGTGTGGCTTCAGTTGTCGAAATTGTTGTCGATCCTGGTACTTTGTCTGTTGGCCAAGCTTGTCGCCGCACGTGGGGAGTCAGCAGGGTGTGGCTGCAGGGTGAAGGAGGTTTGCGGTTTCGTGGGGGCCGCTGCAGTCCTCAGCCGAAACTCAGCCCAACTTGCCCCTGCAGGCAAGGGGGGCTCAACCTTGGACCCGGCTACGCGGTTCAAAACGGTGATGTGCACCTTCTTCTTGGCGGGCACCTGCACGAGAGGCGGGGACGACTGCCACGAAGCCGAGCTAAGGTCACGCCTTTCGCCCAGTGTCCCATTGAACGGTTGAAGATCCGCCCATTCATCCGCACGTAAACGACTATACGTGCATGTCTACAAATATACATGCACAATACACGGCCCTACGCTTGCTTGCGAAAGGTGAAGCCTGCACCTTTGCCCATGGGGCCCACGAGCTGCAGCAGAGGAAGTGAGCAGCAGCGGGCGCAGAGGGTCTCTGCATAGAGTGCGGCAAGGAGCCCATAGAGATGTATGAGATTTCGCAGATTTCGCGTTCCAGGAGCTTTCAGCACAGGCCAGCGAATCCTTTACCAATGCAGTGCATTTCATTCTCGTTCTGTCGTCTATTGAGTCTACTGTTTACATCTGCCCCGCAACCCAGGCCCCCTTTGTTAGGTGAGAGTTGGCCCCAAAACCCTCAGACTGTGCACCTGCGCGGCATTTTGTTCCGGCTGTGTGGCTGCAGCTATAATTTGAGTTGCGTCACGGATGTGGAGTGCCAAGCTCAACAGAAGCCCAGCGGACGATTTTGCACTGTCAGGGACAGTGGGCGAATGCTTATGCAGCTTATATGTCGAGACAGCAGGTAAAAGGAAGGCCGATACCTTGCCAAGCACTGCGTGTCGAGAGGGGTTCCTCACAGAGAGGGCTCCTTCTGCAGCCCGGCTCTTCAAGAGCTTGTGGTTCGTAGAAGCCGGCCGTAGGGTCAAGAGGCGTACGGCACACGCATATGCAGGGCAGGCTTGTGATATTTAGAGGCACGTGCCTACACCAGCCATGCCCATCGCGGTTCTTCATTCTCACTCTTTGGAGCCTCTCTCCAAGCTCTAGAAACTTTAGTCCAAGCTCTCAAGGAGCCAGCTTCTAGACCCTGCAACATGCTTCACCCCGCACCGCCAGCACCACCTGCAAGCTGCGAGTATTGCTTCCCTTAACCTCAAGCCGTAAGCAAGCGCCCTCAACGCGCCAAGCGACAAGAGACACCCTTAGACAGTCAGGCTTGAACACAGCACCTATGCACCCATTCTTGGTGGAACAAGGTTACTTGAGGGAAATGCAAGAAGGGACTGTCGCGAGGCTTGCTGCTGCCCTGGCTGCGGCCGCCGCCGCCCGGGGCGCGGCAGGGCGAGGTTGGGAAGGGCTGGACCCAGTTTCTGGTTTCCCTTGTGTAGGGCAGGTTTTTTTTGTTTTTTGGGTTGAGAATTTAGGGCTTGCTTGGGTGTTTAATCAGATCTTCACCAGTCCACACTTCTCCCTCAAGCGGGACCGCAGACTCGGAAGGCAGCTTGCGACAACGGTGGCGCGGTGCTCGGGAACCATGTCTTGCAGGCTTGCAGGCGACTGCATCCTGCTTCAGGACGTGCTTTGCCGAACCAAGCTTTGCCTAGGCATGCAATCTTGAAGCAGGGGCCTGGACAGTCACCGAACGCGAAGCTCTCATCTCGGAGCGCGAATAAGCCGCAGGCTCCATGAATTCGTTCCTCGTCTCAGCCGCAGTGGCTCACGGGAGGGCGTTAGTTTGCTTAAAGTGTGTTAAGGTCAGCATAGGTCAGCCAGTCCCTCAGCACCAGACCACCTTTAATTTGGCTGTGTTTTTGCAAGTGCGGAGACGAGTTGCTCAGCTCTAGGCCCCCAGAGTGGAACCTCAGTCTTTCGGGCTTGGAAGCCATGGATGAGCTGGACTTCAACTCTCTCCAGGCCAAGGCTCGGCTTCGTGGCTCGTAGCTCGTAGGGCTAAGTTTAAGGACTGGGACATGGTGGGACATGGTGGGACATGGTGGGATATGGCGGGGCTGTGGGACCCAGCAGGTCGGCTTGGTGATTTGGAGTTGCCCTTCTCTGACTTGTAACTCGTGAAATATGGGTTCTCCAAAACTTACACGCTGAACATCAAGTTTTTGAGTTTCCAGCTTTCACAGTGGAGGACCCCGCATACTTAAGATGTAGCCTGAGGCTGGCGTATAGAATTCCCTCGGAAGGGACTGTAAGCACGCATTCCGAAGGTGCGAAACTCCGGGAAACAGGAGTCAAAATCGCAGTGAGTCGCCTAATCCAGTACATTGAACATCATCCGCCAAGCTCTTGTTCGACAAAGCCATGGAGAACCGGATGCTCCAGGGGCTCAGTGTCGCTATCATGTTTCAGATATGAGAATCGGGCTTCGAGGTGCTTGGCGCGGAGAGCAAGCAGATGATGCTCCAGGGACGAACAGGTGCTTTGGACCCAGCGAGAGAGTAATGCGGGGTCTGCGAGGAGGTTTCTGCGGTCACGTAAAGGACCGCGTGCCAGAAGAGAGGCCGTCAAAGGCAAAATGCCACGCAGTGAGGAAGCAGTTCGGGCAGTCGAGGAGTGAGCGATCTGTATCCAGCGAAAGCCCATCCCCTGAGTTCGAGCTTTGTATGTCTTGGCAGTGTCTTGAAGCCTTAGGAAGGATCATCCTTTTGTTGATATGCTATTGTGAGACTCGGTGACTTTGCAAAACCTTCTTTCAGAGCACATGAACTAAAGTCCCAGGCATTGCTCGGCCTCGTTGTGACAGATGTGTGTGTGTGTGTGTGTTAGGCTGCAGGTCTTGGCGGGTTTTGCTGGGGAATGCTGAGTCTCTTCACACTTTTCTGCGGTTCTGAGAGGCTCAACGGTCGGTGGTGTTGCCCTGCAATGCGTCCCCAGGTCAACTAGGCAAGAAGAAGATCCTCGTCGCCTGAATGTCAGCAGCCCAGGTGCCCCCCCTCCCGGCTGGTCACCAGCACGTGCCGCGGCCAGTTGGGCAGGCGACAGGGCAGCGATACCAGGCCGGGACCAGACGTTAGGAGAGTCGGCAGAAGGATCGTTCCATTTTCTTTTGCATTCTTGATCGGCTTCGTTTGTTACACTTCCCGAAGTCCACGACCCTCAAGTGGTCCAAAGTCCACCCATACCTTGAGAATCCTATTAGCTCCTGTCGTCTCCTCTGATCTCGATCGCCGAGATTCACCGAGCCTATCCAGAACCCCGCCCTCAAGCCCGCATCCATCAATCGAACCAGAACCTCCCCAAAGACCCCCAAAGACACCCCCCTCCCCCCAACATCCCCCAACCCTTCTAAGTTCCCCACACGTAACCTCAGATCTGTGAGAGGCAGCGGAGGTGCAGGCCGAGGTGGAGGTAGCCGTGAGCGCTTTGCCGACTGCAACGGGAGGCTGAGCTTGAGTTTTGATTCTGGTATGTTTTGGATTGCGGCTTGCGAATGTTAGGCTTCCTAGTGTTTCCTGTTCAGTGTTACTCATTTATCAGAGATCTGTGAATGGTATCGTGTGTGGCCCTGTCGTAGTAAGTAGCCATGCCGTCAATGCCGGTACCGCTGATCAGAGCATCGATGAGCATCGCGCACTTTGGGAAGTGTTCTGTTTTCCCTTGGAGCATCATCGGGGCGAAGCGGGCCCTTAAACACGGTTACGGGCTTGCCACACCCGGACACTCCATGAAGCTGCGAAACCCCCCCAACTCACAACCTCAGCGGCAAGTGCCTGCAGGCTAACATACCTTCTTGATCGTCTGGAGGCGTGGCTTCTGTGTGCAGATCTTTCTAATACGGCAGCTGATCTGTTCTTTGCGTCTGTTGTATTGGACCTTGTGCCAGCAAGATCTGTGAGACTGTCCCCATGTAGACCCTAGAGCCCAGAGTGTTTGGCCGCAAGCCTGTGCGAACCGAAGCTGCTCAGCCTGAACAAGGCCATAGACTGCCGTAGCTCTTAAGCCTGCGCCGGTAAACCCAGAGAAGGAGTCCGAGTCGGTAGAGGCCTGGTCGGTAACCGGTACAGTGCCAGGCGCGCCTGCTTCGTTCTGGACCAGCCCCCAAGAAGGGTGCAAAGGCGAAGTGGATTTGTTTTGGGGCTGAGAGATGCTGAGAGCCTTAATGGAGCTCTTTCCCAGGCAGAAATCTAAGTCCCAGAAAGGTCTTTTTGAGCGCATCTAGTGTACCTGTCCGGATTGGATCACTCAAGCGAAGTCATGCGAGACTTTCACCTTCTACTTTCAGTGTGTTCAAGGCTCCTGTCGCACTTCACTGCAAGCCGTCGGTTGCCGGTTTAAATTGTTTTCTTGTGAGAAGGCTCCGCCCCCTGTTCTTCACCTGTACGACATGGAGGCAGTGGGATGAAAACTCTCGCGTGCCCTTCACGGCCAACAGCCATGGGCCAGCATGACTTGCCTTTGTTTAGCCAAGGGCAAGCAGGGTGCGGGAGAGGCCTTCTCGGGCTTCAGTATGGCGACCCCCGTACCTGTAATGAAGCTTCGCCTGGGGTGTTTTGCAATCACGACCCACACGAGAAGAAGGGCAACGAAAGCTCCAGCAACGGAGCCCAAGGGGCCTCGGGGGTTTCGAGTTCCTTTTTTTTTCCGCGCGCATCAGAGGAGCCCGTGGAGATGCCGGATGGCGAGGCTGCCGCGGAGGCGGGGATCGGGATTGAGCTAACCACAAGGCACGGCAACAGGCCAAGAGGGCTTCAATTCTAAATGTTTAAAGCAGAGGTTTTCTGACTTTTGACATGTACGGCCCAAGTTGCCCGCAGAGCCCTGCTGCGAAAAGCCCAATGGGCCTCCGGAGGCTCTCGGCAGGCTTTCAAGAAACGTCCAGGAAGAATGCCTTGTGCTCCCCCCCCTCCAAAAAGAAGGCCTGCCGTGTAGCGGGCAAGAGGCCACGAACAGGACCAGGGGCCCAAGACAGCTCAGAAGGTACCCAGCAGACTGCAAACAAAGGCGGCTGTTGAATTTACGCCAACGGAGCCTGGGAGGGCCACAGGTGAGCCCCAAGCGAAACCCCAGAATGCCCCAAGAAGCTCACAAGAAGACCCCAAAAGATCCCAAATGACTCAAGAAGGCCCCCCCCCCAAGAAGCCCCCTCAAAACACTCCGCCCTTCAAGAAATTTTGATACTCCATTCCCTCCCAATCGTTTGCCTTTGTCTCCCAAACTTCGGTGCATCTCCTGGAGTTTTTGCCAGGAAGGCGGGGCCTTCGTCCCTTTTCGCCTCACCGAAGCGGCTCGGATCGTACATTCCACTGCAATCACTCAGCCACCTTACCCATGCAGCCACTTGTAGGCAGGTCTGTGTGTCAGGGTCTCATGTTAGGACGAGCAGATCGGGGAGTTTAGGGTTGGGATGACTGGAAATTCCGGCATGACTGTCGTCAAGAGCCTTGGCCGAACTATGGGCCAACAGAGGAACGTAGAGAGAAGCACGTCGGCAATCAAGCCTCTAAGCCCTGCAAGGGGGCTAAGGCTGCTTAGCTCCGCAGTGACTTCCTGAACTCCTTTTTTCAGGCCGTAAGGCCGTGAGCCCGCGTCGAGCTTCCCAGGCAAAGCTGACCCAGCGCATCCCCGTCGGCAGCGAGCCATACTTCGGGCGCCTCTCGCAGACAGCCCGAAGCTGAGATCTGGAGCGTCGAGGAAACTTTCAGGAACGTCGGGGTTGAGATGGTTGAGGTTCAGATGCAACAAGGACAAGGGGAGTGGAGTTGGCTGAATGAACTCGGGAAACTCTGGCATGGCATGCAGACCAACTTCCACTGGTCATTTCTACATGCAACACCCGATGCCCAGGTGGACACGGCCATCACCAACACAGTTGCCATCTTCAATGGGTCCGAGCCGGCGCGGGCTCCGATTTTGTGGGAGGGCTGAGGTTTGAGAATGGCCCCAAATTCTGGGGCTTCGGACATCTCGAAACTGGACCCTGAAAGATTCGGGGTTGGGTCAAGTTGGGTCGCTTGGGTTTTTGGACCTCTGTCAGGGGCTTCAGGCCTCGGGGTAGGCGCAGCAGCTTCACATTTTGCAGGTTCTGTCTGGGCACCTGGACAGCGCACCATGCCTCATGTCCAACAATCCTTGGTAGGATAAGGGGAGCCCTTAAAAGGGAACCCCTTCTGAACCCTCTTCTGGCTCTCTTAAAAAGGGACCTTATTCAGAGGGTCTATATCCCCAAGGGTCCCCCTAATCCTATCCCCTAAACAATGAATCGCCCAGTCCCCTCTCAAGCTTTGGGCCAGCAACTTGTCTACTGTAGCAAACCTCTGGCAGGCTGGCAGGTGAGGCGTTCCGTGATGGCCGGGCAGGAAGGGGGCGGGATTCGGGCAGACGGGTGTGAAGCGGAGAAGTGACAAGTTCAGAGTTATGGGCTGGCAATGGCAACTGCATCCGAAACCCGACGTTCCCAACTTGTCCTTGAGCAGTGGACCTTGCTTCTCAGAGTACTTTTGCCGAGACTCGGAGTGATGTAGCCGGACTGGATGCTTCTTCCTGCGAGCTGGCTAGAAAGACGGGCCCAGCCGGGGTTTTGGATTAGCGCGTGACTCTGAATCAGCCCTTCTTCTTGAATTGGATTCCAGAATGGCCATCAGCACCCCGCACCGTTTCCAGGCCCCCAATGCAAGGGCTCGAGTTTGTGGGCTCAGCGGTTGGAGGTTTAATAGGCTGCAGCAAGAAGGGGTCTCAGCACATGTGTTGTCACGCGTGCCAGTAGCAAGGTGGGAAGTGTTTCTCACTGCAACTGACCCTTCCATTTCGGTGCCCTCATATGGAAAGGCTCTGATTCATGGGTAGGAAGTCAAAACACATCGGGAAACTTGAGCCACGAGCGGACGTGCTGACACCGCTGATGGGTCAAGAGCTTCTGCTTTAAAGGTGAAAGGCACGATGCTGTCCAAATACAGAGGTTTTTCGGAATAGGCCTGAAGAAGGCGCAGGGCTGCAGGTGACTCTGAAACCACTCGTTTTGCTGTCCTGCCTGTCCGGCTCAGTTCGTATGGCCGGCTTGGGGCGGCAAAAAAAAACAACCAAAGGTCAGCGCCCCTTCTGCGGAGGTCTGCAGTGGCCTCGGGCGATGGTTGGATTTGGGTTTGTTGCGGAATTCAGGGTCCTGAGGAGACAGCGCCTAAACCGCACAATGTTAGTAACATCCTGCGTGTGTGCGCTCGTTGGGAGTCTGGGGTATACTGCTCACCGCATCTTGTACCAAGATCCTCGCCGGCGCCTGCCAGTGACAAGTGTGAGCAAGCCTTCCAAAGCCCAAGCTGGCCCCTTGAATATGACTAAGCAAACCGATGGAGCGCCACGACTTCCCCAGCTGAGAACCCGGGCGCAAGGATTCGCGAGGGCTTTTCTTTTGGTGTTTTCTATGCCCAGCTTGTTTGGTTTCAGGGAATCAGGGCACGTTCAATTTTTGCGGCCTGCGTCCTAACCCTGCAGCGCCCAAATCCCAAAGGGTCCGCCCCACCCTAGAGCTTGCCAAAGAGCCTTCCGAAATGCCCTGAGTTCCTCTGTTACACTTGATTGAGACTCAGCGATATCGCCTTCGGACATCGGCTCGAAGCCATCGCTCGGCCTCTTCCGGCACGCCGGTCTACACCATGGCGCAGCGAGAGGCCTCGGAGGGCGCTTTCTTCTTTCCTACTTCCGGGGGGGGGGGGGGGGTTGGGGCATCGGGATGGGTTTCATGTGTTTCCAGCCATGGGTTGGGGTACATGACACTTGGCTTTCACGACTGAAGACTAGATGTTGGTGCAAAGTCAAAGCCTGCTCATGAAAGGAAGCTCGGGAGAACAAGGATAGTGATCCCGATCATGCTGCCGAAGTCCCCCGGTGAAGCCCCAGACGTCAAGGGCCACGAATGGACCTTCAAGACCTCCAAAAGCCCCGAAACTGGGCTTCCCAAAAGCTCGCCATGGCGGATGGCGGCGAGCCTTGTGCCCTTGATCGCGGGCAGAAGGCAGCCTCTTTGCCGCATGGGGGTGGCAGGCTTGATGGGCGCAGTCTTTTGTTTCGTCAAAGCTTTGGGAGTTAGGCGTGCGACGGACGCACTTTTTTCTTGGGAGGGGCTTGGGATGCAGTCCTGGCAATGCTTGCTAGTCGCTGCCGCTTGTTTGTCTGCAATAGTGGGCATCGCACGGGTCCCATGGACACTCGATGTGACAAAGTCCCGCCTCTCCCTGGATCCTGGAGATTTCTGGGGACTTGCCTCGGCAGGAACGACCAGAGTCCAATTTGCTGTTTTGGCATGGGAGGGAACATACCCACTGGGCCGCTCCAAAGGATTGGGTTTCTGCGTATCGTGTTCAGGGTTGAGGAAGCCAGGATCACTCACGCAAGTCGTTTACGCCTGGTGTGAGTGGCCGCAGAGTGCCTTTGCGCTTAAATGAAGGAGATTCCGTGCAGATATTAGGACGAAGCTTAAGCGCTATAGATATAGGTGCAACAGAGCACTTCTTCGGCACAACCGTGCTAAACTCAAAGCCCGATCATCCCGAACCACCTTTCGAACCACGGAACGCGCACTTTAGACTCCCTGAAAAACAAGCCTCCGGCCCAATCGTAAACCTGCGCCTCAATTCCCTGCACCCCTGCAATCCCCAAAGCAACTCCGGGCCCCAGGTCCCCACAGGTCCCCAGCCCATCCCATGCCGGAGCTCGAGACTTTGGTCGCCGGGGCCGAGGTGGCAAAGGTATCTGGGCCTCAGCTTCGGCCTTCGGGGGGGCTTGAGGGAAGATTGGCTTCAAAGGCTGAAGAGCCCGTCTCGTCATGAACCTGAAAACCCCGCATTTCCACACGCGCACACATGCACAGCGCGGCATCGACCTTGAGCCTCTATGCCCCAAGAAGCGCTTCAACAGCCTGCAGAACTCGGTTCTCAGTGGTTCTCACCCCCTCTACGGAGGTTGGCCTCGGGTTTGCCGCCGCACCGCCCGCGCCGCTCTTCGTCAGCCGGGTGGCACCGGGGAGCTGGGGGGCGCAATGCGGCTGCCTGTCCGAGGGGGGAGGGGGGGTAGGTTGCGGGCTTGGAGGTTCAGGAGCTCCAGAGGTCGTCAGGGAGAGAAACCTTTGGGGGCTTGCTTGTTTGCAAGGGCTTTCAAGTCGTGTTGATTTCGACACCCCCACTAGCGCTGCCTCTGTTTTTTGCTAAATTGTTATGATGCCAGAGCTTACAGAAACAGAGAAATGGAGATGGTCAAGCTCCAACTCCCTGTGCTCAGCCTGTGCTCAGCCTGTGGCTTGAGGTTTTCAGGGTGGAGAGCAGATATTGGCTGTTAACGGCCGGCTGGTGTCACAGATGCCGCTGGGCAAACTTAATTCGAGGGCCCATGATGACTTGAGACGTAGACAAAATAGAAGATAGGCATCATGGTGCAAACTGGCAGCTGGCAGCATGCCATAGCATGCCGGAGAAAGCCCGGATAAAATCACGGATCCACGAGGCCACCCACCGAGCGTGTTGGGTGCGCGGCATAGGGCGAGGAGCGCATGGTTCTTTTGTTTTGATGATCACCAATCATCAGCTTCAAGTTGTTCAACATTTGTTGCAAAGTTGACTACAATTTGTCAAGTGACAAAAATGCTGAAGATTTTGGAGATCTCTAGGATTTTGACGATTTTGCAGATGTTGACGATTTCAGCATGTGTTGCAACGTGTGAGATTTGGATTTGTGGTGTGACACTTGGCCGTGATCCTCGCGGCCTTTGCAGAGCATTTGTCCTCGCATCCTGTTTGTGTCAGTCGTTCTCGTCTTACGTCTCCTCAGCTCCTCTTCACAGCCAGCCTAGCCGCTCGAGGTTTCCAGGGCAAGCCACTGTATTCGGTCGGGGTGCCAATGTCGGCCCCAAACGGTTCGCAGCGGGGGCCTGCGGGCTTCAAGTTTTGAAAGCGGCAGTCGTGAAGAGGTGTGTTTGAAATACGTGGTCCGCTAGCCACCACCACATTCCAACCGGATCCTTCAAAGTCTAATGCAGATGTCCAGTAAGCAGCGCACACGTTCTGGGTTACTGACGGAAACTTCAATGTTTCCATGAAGCGCAGTTCGCGGACTCATCCGAAACACTTCGAACCGTTACAGCCTTGGCGAACTAGCACCAGGTCGCAGGACGACTTTACCAAGGCAGGGTAAAGGGACCCTAAGCATGAAAGTCCATGCTTTTAGCTTCAGAGGCACGTGTTGTGGTAGAAGCCCGGGTTTAAAAGTACAAAGATCAGGTCTTCGCGGTCTTCGCATGTGGACCGTGCTGCCAAGAAATTCGGCGCACGTGCAGGCCATGCAGCGGAGGCCAATCGAGCTCTTCGTCGACTGGACCGAGGTGGGGGGGGGGTGCCGGGGTGCCATGGGGTGCCTGAATCTCCGAGTGAAGCCTGGAGCCTGGTAATTCGCCTGAGCTGCCCGCCGGAAGTTTTTTCATTCTTGCAAGAATCCTCGATGCCACGCCTGGGAAGACTTGCAGGTCTTTTTTTTTTTGCCTGAGCCCTGAACATCGCGGAGGCCGAGCCGGGTGTGGTGGAGATCGAGACGTTGATTGTGGACAAGTCGGTGCAGAAGAGCCTTCGACACTCCAAGCCCCCTTTGTGTGTTTGCTCTGTGAAATGCTCCTGTTCCATGCTCCTGTTCCTTGTTGGTTCGCATTGTCTTGTCCACGTGACCGGGAAGCTGTAAGGTTGAGGAAGACGCCCCAAACTTGCGGCGTCATCGGTTCCGGTCTTTAACCTTGCCCAAGCATGGGCCATGAAGTTGAAACCGAAGCCGTTCTGACTCAGAGACTGACGTTCGGTGCGGCCTGGCGAATGCCGTTCCAGGTGGGGGTCTCGACTTGAAACTTCGGTCTTTGTCTGAAGTCGCTGAAGCGTTGCAGAGATTATCCATGTCACCCCTGCAGGCAATGCCTCACGAGAAGTCCGCAGGCACAGCTCGGGTAGTCCACATGTTGGAAGCCATGGCTCACTCGAGCCTAGCGGGGATCCGGAGAGACATCGTCGCACCAAAGTCAGATGAAGCAGGACCACTGATGTAAACTGATGGCGCGAAGAAGGGCCCGCTCCAAAATCCAAACCTCTAGACCTGGCAACGGTTGTCCTGGGCATTTTCAGAAGAATGTAACCCAGGTGCTAGTTAATCCCAAAAGTAATCATATTCGACTTCTTACTTACCCAGTCTTTAGTTTTATACCGGTTCATCGACTATGTATACAGGCCTGGTCGGTCGGCGTGCGAGTGCGAGAGTCGAAGCATCGCGGCTCTCTGGGCAATCGCGGCGCCGATTCGAGCGTGGGATTG